GCTTAAGTGCAGTTATGCTCCAGGACAGGGAAGTTTTTAAGGTTCCAAACTCACGATTCTGCAAAAGTTAGATACTAATGATCATGAGACTTCCATATCTTACCAATTCTCCCTTAGCCCACGGAGCATTTTCTTTGATGGATGCATGTGTTTTGTTTCGTTTTCTTAAAGCTAATCGTGTTAAGTAAATGACCTCATTTACTTAAACTACACCTGAAAGGACACATCAACCTGCAGCAGCAGTGCTTATTAGATGCTAAATAATAAGTGGAACAGTTCGAGAATTTCTTCAGTTTGTGGAGCATTTCGGTTCCAGGATGTGCTGTTGCCTTGTGAATGTCTGATGGCTTGAATGTCAGTTTGATATCTCATCTAAGAAGTCTCAGAGGGCTGCCAGTTCTGCTCTGTGGTATTATCTGAGGGGTACAGGCTCAGTGAAATCGACGGCGTCTCTCTTGATGGTTTCCTCACGGCACCCCCAGCTCTGGTATCTAACCTCTCATCTTCGAATGACCCGATAGCATCATTGCTCAATGCCTTTGCTTTTTCCTTTGGGGTTTCACATTCACACACGAATCCTCCCAGCTGGTGACTTCCCAGCCTCCAAGGGATTAAATATGTGTGTTCTCCCTTTCCATTTGCTTGGGAAAATCCAGAAATAGGCGTTGTGCAATCACCTAATTCAGTTAAGCACACGTCACTCCCAATGTTGTGCTGATGCTATAACAGTTTCTAAACGAATTTCCATAGACTCGCTCTATTCTAACTACCTTTCTTCTTGCCCCTATAAGATTGTTTAATATAAGTTTGTAAAATTTTATTTATTTTTTATTTTTTTAACGCTTATTTTATTTTTGAGAGACAGAGACAGTGTGAGCAGGGGAGGAGTATAGAGAGAGGGAGACACAGAATCCCAAGCAGGCTCCAGGCTCCAAGCTGTCAGCACAGAGCCAGATGTGGGGCTCGGAAAACTCACAAACCGAACCATGAGATCATGACCTGAGCTGAAGTCGGACGTTTAACCGACTGAGCCCTCCGCAGGTGCCCCTATAGGTTTGTAAAATTTTAACTATTTTAGCCTAAAATGCATCTCCAAATAGTCAAGGTGTTTTTTTCTTTCACGGTTCTTGCTGTTCTTCAATTTTCCTCACATTTTACTTCAAAATCGACTCCTGCAACTGTTACTAACCTACCTCTGTGATGTCTAAACCTATGTCCGTATCACTTCAAGGATAATTTTCTTGCTGCATACTCAAAGAGCGATAATAAAGGTACCTTCTGATGAATCACATGAAAGTACACAGATTGATCTAAGCCTCAAATCACGACGGTTTGCCAGTATTAATTATAAAATCTCCAAATCCCAAATAAGCCCATTTTAATTATTCATTTTCATGTGAAGTTACAAGAAAATGAAAAGAACTGTAATTGCAAAGTCCTTATTCTTTCTTCAGTATCTTTGGCATATATCATACACTCTCCTTTTTTGCCTACATAGTTCCTTCTGCTGAGGATCATTTCTCATTCTACATTCACCAGGATCCCAGCCATCCTTATACAAAGCCTTGTTCAAATTCTACTTCCTATTTGAGGCACGTTCTCACTGCTCTGGTGCGCACTGATTTTTCTTCCTCCATAGGATGTCTGTTCCTAAAGTTAGTTAATTTAAGAAAGTTTGGCATGGTATTGTTTTCCTCTAGCTGTTTCCCATAAGTCTGTATGTCAGACTTATCTCCCGCATCAGGCTGTAAACTTTCTGAAGGCAAGGACCACCGCGTCTTATACCACTGGTTTTCAAGCTATTTTTCTTGCATTGCCCCTATGACGATTTTGAAAAAATGACATACCTCTTTATGCACTGTTAAGTTGGCATGAGAGATTGTACCATGAGTAACTGCAAAGGACGCGACTCAAAATATTGAAATTAAAGACCAAAGAGAGCAAAATGAAATGGTGCCAGGAGACTTTTAAGTGTAGCTAAAGGAATCTAAATAATATTGTGATCCATACCTCCAGTCATTCATTTGAAAAAACACGCCACGTCTTTGACTGCTGGAAGTTTTGCATCATTGCCTTTTCTCCTTGAAGTCATATTTCTATTCCACATCCCTCAGAGGACTTCATCCTAGTAAAAAGCATTTTTTATGCTTGAAAATCTTCTCTACATTAAATATGTATATAAATGGAAATTATTTTTCTAAATTTTCTATGGCCAGAGGCTTTTAAGTGGTAAAGTATTCATTCTACATTGAGTTGTCGTTACAATTACTTTTAGTACACAATTGATCAAAACCCAAACCACATAAGTGTATTATAAATTTTTATAAGTACTTATCAAGCATAAGGAATACAGTTTTATCAGAAATACATATTTCTATGAGATATGTGGAATTGTTTGTTTACATACATGTGAATACTACTTATTGCTAGAAGTAAGCAGGGTTCAGCATAAATTCTGTTCCTCGTTTACATTTTTATAGGTACAAATGCTGGGAAGACTTGTTCACATAAAATTGTAGGTGGGAATAGACGGTGTTTTATTATAGCGTTGTCACTCAGTCGTATGATTTCCTTTCAAGTCACATGCCAGAATTATATATCGATTTATTATAAAAATTGTTTTTTCATCTCTTGTCAACTGTTAACTTGATTAGGTCTTTCTTCAGTGTTGTTGAAAGCAAAGAATTGGAAACAACCTACTTAGAAAAAGATTTGTTAAATAGTCATTAGGGGTAATTTGCTTTCTCAGTTTTTGAGAATAATATCAAAAAGCCTTTATAAAAAGTTATCAGATGACTATTAATGATACCAGTTATAGTTTAATTGAACCCAATATACTCAGAAAGTGGGGAAAAAGAAAAAATATGAATTCTAATGTATCTACCAACATAATAATTTTTGAAACAATTATTTTTAAAAATGTTTTTTCATGTTTGTTTTTTATTTTTTTAATGTTTATTTACTTTTGAGAGAGAGAGAGTGTGTGTGTGTGTGTGTGTGTGTGTGTGAGCGGGGAGGGGCAGAGAGGGAGACACAGAATCTGAAGCAGGCTCCAGGCTCCAAGCTATCAACACAAGCCTGACGTGGGACTCGAACCTATGAACCTTGAGATCATGACCTGAGCCAAAGTCAGACGCTTAACTGACTGAGCCACCCAGGTGCCCCTTAAACTTTCTTTAGAAAACATTTTACTTTATTTGTTCAGATACACATGTACACCAACAGCACACTGCTTGGGTTCACACTCCTGAATTCTTTCCCTAAGAGAGATAGCTAGGGCACGGAGCCTCGTTACTTTGTTGCATTGATGAAATGGTGCCCTGCCTCTTGTGCTTCCCTTCTTTCCTCCTATGGGACTCTTCCTCAGAAATGATGCATCTCTGGGGCGCCTGGGTGGCTCAGTCAGTTAAACCTCCGACTGCAGCTCAGGTCATGATCTCGCGATTCGTGGTTCAAGCCCCGTGTCGGGCTCTGTGCTGACAGCTAGCTCAGAGCCTAGAGCCTGTTTCAGATTCTGTGTCGTCCTCTCTCTTTGACCCTCCCTGCTCGCACTCTCTCTCTCTCTCTCTGTCTCTTTCTCTCTCTCTCAGAAATAAATAAAACATCAAAAAAATTAAAAAAGAAATGACACATCTCTGACAATCATTGAGGGATGAAAAGCACAAGACATTAAATGAAACTTGTTAAATACAGCTCCTCCATACTGTATATCTCAATACCTAACATCCCAGGATGGACGGAAATGCCATGCTTTGCCATTAAAAGAAACGCGTAAACAGAACAAATCATGGAGCTTTACTTTGGATTTTTCCAGCCTTGATTAAAAGAAGATTCCCTATACCAGTCTTTTCTACTCTTGTTTGGTGTTTAGGGGTTCTTGTGTTTGTAGCATAAAGGAAGATGCACTATGGTAAGGTGGGTAGAGGACAGGCCTCTCTGTGTAAAGTGGGAGGAAATTGATTAGGAGAGGAAAGGAGCAGGGTGCCTGGGTGACTTAGACAGTTACATGTCCGACTTTAGCTCAGGTCATGATCTCGCGGTTCGTGAGTTCGAGCCCCGGGTCAGGCTCCGTGCTAACAGCTCAGAGCCTGGAGCCTGCTCCGGATTCTGTGTTTCCCTCTCCCTCTGCCCCTCTCCCGCTCTGTCTCTGTCTCAAAATTACATAAATAAACATTTAAAAAATTACAAAAATAAAAGGAAAGGGAAGGAGGAAAGAACTAGCCTGATGCTTCCACACAGTTGCCTTCTCAGGCAGATCAGTTTTTGGAAGGAATACATATACACGTGGTGGATCTGGACATTGATATCTTTATAACTATCTATGCCCACCTAGGCCTTGGGAGGTCTGTAAGGACTCCCAGTGATGTGCATACACCAGTCTGAAGCCAGCTTTCCTACGCTTCTTATTGTACCCAATAATATGCTGAGATAGTTAGTACTAATACTTCATTTACATAGTAATTAACCTAGAAAGGAAAATGGCAACTCCAAAACCATTAGCAAAAACGTATAAGCAGAACTATCTATTTATTTTCATCGGCATATTCTTCTATTTGACATTTTTTTAAACTTTGCTTAAAAGCAGTTTCGCATCATCTAACCTATACATCATATATGTGACCACGTGAAATCCACACTGCAGTAATAAAGTAATTAGTAATTAGACCAGTTCTAGTCGCCATTCCTACTTTGCTAAGATAATGTTCAGGCTCTATCTTCTACGCTGTATTGTACCTTAGTTTTAAAAAGCCGTTTCAAATAACAAAGTATAAAATAAAACTGTTGATGGTAGAAAAGGCTAGAATCAAAGTCGTATTTTTAAATCCGCCTGAATGCATCGATTACACATGTGTCGATAGGTTGAAATGACCATTGGCAGATGATGCATACGTTACAGACAACATGGGTCTTCAGGAGTAATTCACTTCAAAATTGTGAGCTAATGTAAAAACATGACTATTTTTTGCCAAACTGAAATCTTAGCTTTCTGTTGTTGACAGAAAATGCTTCCAAGGCAGGATTAAAACAAGAGCAGCGCCAAGATATTCAACTGCCTGGTGGGACTGCGCTGTCCCAGGAAGCACTACCAGTCAGGATGAATGCTTGGAAATCAACAGAGGTAAGTCACTGTGGCAGTTTCCCCGTTGCCACCGTAGCAAATTACCACAAACTCAGTGCCTTCAATCAGCGCAAATGTGTCATCTTACAGCTCTGTAGCTCAGGAGTCTGACACAGGTCTCGCTGGGCTAAAATCAAGGTGTCTGCAGGCTGCCTTCCCTTCTGGAGGCCTGGGGGGAGGGGAGGGGAGATTTGTTTCCCTGTGCTCTCCGGATTCCTGTATTCCAAGAGAAACACTGCTTGTCTTTTACTTTTGTTGTCTTTTATTTTACACCATTTTAAATAAGAATGAGGTTAAAATACGAAAGTTTTCCTTTAACACTCATGCTTAAAACAAATCTTATTGGGGCACCTGGGTGGCTCAGTTGGTTGAGCATCTGACTTCGGCTCAGGCCATGATTCTGCAGTTAGTGGGTTTGAGCCCCTAGTCGGGCTCTGTGCTGACAGTCAGAGCTGGAGCCTGCTTCAGATTCTGTCTCCATCTCTCTCTGACCCTCCCCTGTTCATGCTCTGTCTCTCTCTCTCTCTTAAATATAAATGAAAACATTAAAATTTAAAAAAAATCTTATAAAGAAATTCTTTACCCTAATAGAATAAAGCTCTTATTTTTTCTTCTAAATAAAATCCTTGAGTCCTCTAGAACTTTGCCATATACTGTAAGCGGGGATCTTTGTACCCCTGGGGTCTTTATACTGTTAGACCACCCTTTCCAAAGGAGAATCACCGATGACGAAGCCCACAAAACGCAAGAGGAGTTGGTTATTCAGGTTTATTTTAGTCCAGCCGACTGGCCCTTCCCGAGCACCCGAAAAGTCCTCGGAAGAGCGCCCCACCGAGCCATAGCTCAGGGTTTATATAGGGAGAGGGGCGAAGCCCGTGTACAGAAGCGAGAATTTTGCGGTTAGAGGTGGGGGTTGCTTAACAGTCGCTTGAAGAACATGTTTGACCATTCTAATCACAATGTTCACTAAGGACTTATATCTCAGGGACTTGCTGGAGCCAGGAGGAGCCGGGTTGCTCAACCCCTGACCTTTTACCAGAATAGATAGAGTTTGAGATCAAACAATGGTTGGTATTTCTTCATTTGCAAGCCCCTCACCTTTTGGCCCAAGGGAGTTTTTACAGTACCCCTGTGGAGAAACAATAATTTATTGTACAGTCCATCTCTCTCTACTCATCTAAAAAAACTTTTTAAAAGACTTCGAGGAAGTTGCAAAAATAATACAGACTCTCATGTACCCTTTACCCAGCTCCCCCAATGTTGACATCTTTAATAACTGTAGTACAAAATCAAAATGAGGAAGTGGATGTTGGTATGTGATGGCTAACTAGACTACAGACCTTATTCAGTTTCCAAATTTTCAATTCACTATTCAATTAAGAAAATTCTTCTAATGTTTATTTATTTTTGAGAGAGAGAGAGAGCATAAGTGGGAGAGGGGCAGAGAGAGAGGGTGATACAGAATCTGAAGCAGGCTCCAGGCTCTGAGCTGTCAGCACAGATCCCAGTGCGGGGTTTGAACTCATGAAACACGAGATCATAACCTGAGCCAAAGTCAGATGCTTAACCAACTGAGCCACGCAGGTGCCCCACACTGTTCAATTTTTTAACCTTCATTTGTGTGTGTCTGTGTGTGGGTTGGGGGGTTCTATGCAATTTTATTTTAAGTATAGATTAATGTAATCAGCACCAAAAGAAATCCCTCATGCTCTCCACCCCATCTCATTCCCCAACCCCCAACCACATCCTCTCCTAACGACCACTAGTCTTCTCTGTCTTTATAGTTTTATTATTTCTAGAATGCTATGTAAATGAATTCAGATAATATGTAACCTTTTGAGATAGTTTTCATTTTTTTCACTTAGCATAATGCTCTTTGATATCCATTCAGGTTGTGAAGTTTTCATACCTCTGAGATAAATGTCTAGGGGTGTGATTGCTGGGTTGTGTATTAAATACTCGCTAAATTCGGTAAGAAATCATCGACCTGTTTTCTAGAATGGCTGTACCATTTTACACTCCCACCAGCAGTATATGAGAGCTCTAGCTTCTCTGCATTCTCACCAACTTTTGGCATCCACTTTTATTTTGGCTCTTCGAATAGGTCTGTGGTGATATCTCATTGTGATTTTTAGTTAATGTTTCCCAAATGGCTGATGATGTTGAACATCTTTTCATGTGCTCGTTTATATCATCGTAACTTCTCTTTGGTGACATATATGTTCATATCTTTTGCTCGTTTTCTAACTGGACTGAGTGTTCGTTACCATTGAGTTACGAGAGTTCTTTATATGTTCTGGATACCAGTGTGTTTCTATTCATACTCTCATCCATGAAGATGTTCATCTTGTTTTTGAGCATGACCTGTGTCTTTAATTTTCACATTTGTATTTTTCTCTTTCGTTGCTGTGTGTCTGGGGAGGGAAGGTATCCCCAGAACGTGAATTTACAGAACCATCTTGACTGGAAATATGTTCCACTCAAGACTATTGACAGTGATCTCACCACTCATTTGTTTTCCTGTCTTATGTGTTTCTCCTTCTAGAAGGAAAGCTCCTTGAGGGTAAAGACCATTTTAGTCTTATTCATTACTGAATCTTCACTTGCCAAGTTTTTGTTGATGAAGAAATGACTGAAGGGTAGACACTCAATTTTGACGTTCTTCTCTTCCTTTCCTGTGAAAGAGGCTTGTTTGGTCTCCTGCTTGGAGCCCTTTGTTTAGCGTCCCCTCCCACACAGCTCTTGTGAGAGTGGCCACGTTATTTCTCGACCTTCTGTTCTCAGCCCTTGTCCTGAAGAACCCCGTTAGGTATTGGATTTACCCGATATTCTAGCAGCTCAGAAAAGTACATAAAACTAAAATTTCATTTTTCCTTCATTGCATCATAGCCCATGGATTGAAAATGTGTAGATTATTTTAAAAGATATGACATTAAGTCAAAAATTATTTTTAAATATGAGGTCAGTTTTGTTTACCGCTTATGGCTTTTAAGGGAGAAAATAGACTTGAATAATCTTCCATGCTTTGGAGTCTAACAAAGGCATAAAATGCCACCTAGCTTTTTTTGTATCAGTCTTCAAATTGTCGCTATTAATGTTTTTTTCTGACTTTAGAGGAACCCACTATAATTGATTAATGTCATTCAGCATCTTATATCACTTAGAAAAAAATGGTGCCCTTCTTTCAAAAGAAGTTTAAAGCTAGGTTTCCCCTTTTTCAAAGCATTACTGTATCATGGTACGATTCCATCATTTTACTGACAAGCGCCTCCCATTATTACTGCAACCCAATATATCCTCTGTAGAAATCTGCTTTTGTGGCAGAAGACAAAATCTACCAGGCTGAACAGTAAATCTAATTGTTGTTGCCAAATGTACTACATCTACATTAAAATTCTCATGTTCTTAATACAGAATGAGAAAGAAATGATACTGTTGATTGCTTAGGCAGATGAAGGGTGCTTAAAAATATCTCCTAAAAACTTTAAATAGAAATCTCCTTAACTATTCTCTTTCTACAAATGAAAGGATGATCTAAAAGCAGTAAATAAAATTCTTAACAGAATAGGGCATTCAAAACCAGAACAGTGCTGGCTTCTGGTACTTTCAAAACTAAGGAAAGCCTTTAAATGTACAACACTTCGACATGGGTGTTTTCTCTCTAGGTACTGCCCAGAATCTTTATTATTAAATTTGCTAATCAGTGAGGCTACTGTGTAGCTTTTCACCACCTCAAAAGACCTTCTTCTTTTCCTGTTTGAGGAGATTCAACAATGAGGGGTATGATTTTTTTATTTTTATTTTTATTTTTTTGGTCACAGTTGTTTCTATAGCAACAGATAGGGATGCTATGAATTGGTTCACACAAAATTAAAGCTGACCAAAGCCTTCAGTCTAGTTGTGAGTTGCTAAATTGCTAGTGATGGAAGATAAATGCTTATTTCCTCCTGCTTCTGTTTATTATTTTGTTAAATGAGGAGTAAACACTTTTTATCCTTGGGCTTATTAGCATATCATTTATTATATTTGCAAAACTTTGAACTCATCAGAGCTGTTAGGGAAATGGAAATTATACCTATTCTAATCATGCTAATCCATCATCCACTTACTTCTTTTCTGCATCATTGCTTTATGCTGAAAAGCCCTTTTTTTATTTTCATGCTTGTACTTTGATTCTTTTTAAGTTGGAAGGTACTTGCTGGAAAAAGCTTAAACAATATGAGAGGGTAAAGAGTGAAAACCAAAGTTTCTTCTTACTTCTCTGTTTACCTTCAGTTCCTTTCTTTGGAGGTATCCGTTACTTACTAGGTTCTTAGAAATTTGGGAGGGAAATTTTCTGTGTCCATATATTTCTTTTACCTAAGGATTCATTCCGTATACACTCCTCTGCAGCATGCTTCGAACTAACCAATATATCTTGCACATCTTTTATATAATAAATGCAATCATTTGATGTGTATTGTTCCAAATCTTTTTCACTAAATGATAGGTCATGGATATCTTTCTCTCTCAGTATGTATATGTGCTGTATTCCTTTCTATTTTTTAAATTTTTTAATGGTTATTTATCTTTTGAGAGAGAGAAAGAGAGACAGAGCACGAGCAGGGGAGGGGCAGAGAGAGGGAGACACAGACTCCAAAGCAGGCTCCAGGCTCTGAGCTGTCAGCAGAGAGCCTGATGTGGGGCTTGAACTCACGAACTGTGAGATCATGACCTGAGCCGAAGTCAGATGCTTAACCGACTGAGCCACAGGCGCCTCTAGCTGTGCTGTATTCTTGATGCATAAATGAATCTTCATTTATTTGGCCATCTGTTGGTCGTCATTTAGGGATATTTTTATGTTTTTGTCTATTAAAAGCAATATTGTAATAACGGCTCTTGTACATATTTTATATGATGCTGTCCTGGAAAGGGAATTGCTAAAAGGTTCTATTTATTTTTAGTGTTGAAAAATACTGCCAAATTGTCCTCCCAAAAGTTGTCCTCTAGTTTATATTCAC